ATAAAACAAGCTTTACGTCGGGTATAACATAGATATATCTTTCTATAAACTAAACTTTACGTCGGGTATAACATAGATATATCTTTCTATAAACTAAACTTTACGTCAAGTATAACATAGATATATCTTTATATAAAATAAACTTTACGTCCGGTATAACACACACACACATATATATATAGATATATCTTTCTATAAAATAAGCTTTACGTCGGGTATAACATAGATATATCTTTCTATAAACTAAACTTTACGTCGGGTATAACATAGATATATCTTTCTATAAAATAAACTTTACGTCGGGTATAACATAGATATATCTTTCTATAAAATAAACTTTACGTCGGGTATAACATAGATACATCTTTCTATAAAATAAACTTTACGTCGGGTATAACATAGATACATCTTTCTATAAAATAAACGTTACGTCGGGTATAACATAGATATATCTTTCTATAAAATAAACTTTACGTCGAGTATAACATAGATATATCTTTCTATAAAGCAAACTTTACGTCGGGTATTACATAGATATATCTTTCTATAAAATAAACTTTACGTCGGGTATAACATAGATATATCTTTATATAAAATAAACTTTACGTCAAGTATAACATAGATATATATTTATATAAAATAAACTTTACGTCGGGTATAAGATAGATATATCTTTATATAAAATAAACTTTACGTCGGGTATAAGATAGATATATCTTTCTATTTCACATTAAATATCTCGTGTTTTAGACGCGTGGATAACATTACGTTAACCACAACTTCACTGTGACCCCCCCCCCCCCATCTAAAAATATGGCGATGCATAAGCTTATTGCACGTAACAGAAGGTATCTTGTTCGGTTGTAGTTAGTTCGTCGACAAGTGTGGTTTACAATTGGTCCACGTATGGTGGCAAATGTTATGTTCATGTTTATCTAAGATTTTTCAAGCGGATTTTTCTGGCCATGTTTTTCCAACTGATTACGTACAATAAGAGCTTAGTGGATTGTTGCATTACGTTTTCGTAAAAGGCCACGCTATCCGGGTGGAAATGCAACGTTGGAGGGTGGACATGATCGGCAGTAATGTTCAGGTACACACAAGGTGTTCTTTGACCTTGTAAAGGGAAACAAAACACACATTTACTGCCATGAAGATCTTTTCGATACCATTAAACCACCTCCAATAGTTTGCACTGTTGATACAACACAAACAGAGTTAATCTTGTGATTTTTTACATAGTTTTACTTCACCTTCAATATAGACTCGTCAAATCACACCATGAAACTTCCAGCCATTCATTGTCCATGCTCTGCTTTCTAAGCACAACATAAGCCACGGTATGGGTGGGCTGTCAGCTGCTTTATGACCATTTCTGTAATGACTCGGGCAGAGGTAGCCGAAACCTGACCACTGACGAAAGAATTGGTCATTTGGGACACATTCTTCCATCAGTGGTTAATGGCCAGTTTTTTATAGTGAAATACATATTCCCTGTCGATTGCCGCAGTTAATAAGCTGACATGTTAGATGTTTATGAACAGCCAGTCATAAAAATATGTAGTCTGTGATAATGCCACTATACTATCATGCTTCTTTGAAAGTCGAAAATAAGCTTACTTTTTCCGGTTGTCACGTAGGCTAATCATGACATCTGCGTGTTTATAGGGTTAGCAGCTATTTGACTTATCACGTAATCAAACTATTTTTTTCATATCTTAATGCATGAAGTACTATACATATTTATATATGGGGGCCAGTAACGTGGCAAGTTAATGTTGGAGAAGATAATATCTTTTGGAGTAATTTGCTTTCACTGCATGTGTGTTATTTATACTATAAGCACCCATCTTCAGATAACTTTCATCATTATAACATCAAAAAACATTACAGTAAAGAATACTGATATCCTTCTTTACACCAACTATCCAATTTTCTAGATGTTGGAAAATGTTGATAATATATTAAGAAATACATTAATGTTTACTAAAACACAGGCCTGGTGGTTATGGCGCTCGATTCGCGATTTGAGGTCACGGGTTCGGATCTTCGTCACAACAAAGATGCTCGCCCTTTTTGCTTTGAGGCCGTGGTAATGTGACGATCAATCTCACTATTTGTTGATGAAAGAGTAGTCCAAGAGTTGGTAGTGGAAGCTGCCTTCCCTCTAGTCTATCACTGCTAAATTAGGGATGGTTAGCGCAGATAGCCCCCGTGTAGCTTCACGTGAATTTCAAAATAAACCAAATACTTCAAAGCCTTAGGGACCATTTCTTTTCTGTTTCTAGCCTATCTAATTACTCCACAATATCACTGTCTTCCATTTCCCTGGAAGAAAATAAATGTTATAACAAATAGTCTGGAAACATATCATGTGATGTAACCAAAGTGACGCTTTTGATCATATCTCTTATTACGTCGTAAATGTCTTGGAAGATGTGAACAGCACGTGAATATCTTGAAGCGTTTTTTGTACAACGTAATCCTTTATTAGGTACACATAGGATTTTAATGCCAGAAAACCTTTATTTACATAAAACGTACGGGTAACTTAATATGTATTCAGAAACATTGTGAAAAACCTTAATGGCTTCCGAGTAACGTTACCCCTTTCCTCAAAATGTACACGTAACTGAACTAATGCTGGATCTTTGGATGAACTGAAAAAACTATGAAAATATTTAACAAAGAGGAACGACAGAAACAGAGCTGCTTAAGCTTC